AGTGTGAGGAGGTGCTGCTCTCTGGTGCTCACTGTTCTTACTTCTCCAGTTCTTTGCACGGAGCCTCCTGCGGATCCTCAGAACGACAGTGATAGGAGAAGATGGTGACGCGGCTTCTGAAAAACCGTCCCCAGGTAGGAGTAGATGGATAGAATGACATGAGATAGTACCAGGAGTGCCCCGGCTTCCAGGGCCATCTATTTGGATTTCTTTTGGATGGATTCCAAGATGAGACTTCCGATCGGATCGTCCCATTCTGCTGTTTGAAGCTGCTTTTGTGTATGTTTGTTTTGTTTTATTTGGCTTTGGGGCCAACCCAGTGGTGCATGAGGAGTACTCAAAGCTCAGTGCTCAATGTTCATTCCTGACAGGTCTAGGTGACCAATGGGATGCTGGAGGTCCAAAGGTTTCATCTTGGGTTTTCTGTTTTATTTGGGGTAGCAGAGCAAGAATTCTTGCAATCATTCCTTGTGCTGCACTCTGGCATTGCCCCTGGCAGTGCTTGTGGGACCATATGGGATGTTGAGGATCGCCAGTCCTACATGCTCTCCCTGGAACAGCTGTCCTGTTATGCCAACCTGCTGCTTTGGTTTCTTTTGCATTGTTTTTGTCATCAGCTGTCCTCTTGACTGTGTGCTCTGGATTCACAACTGACTGGCCTCAGAGCACCCTGGGGTGTACTGGCCCTGTTTGCGCCCTGGAAACTACAGTGACTTGGGCCCCCAGACTTGCTTTTCTCTTGTTTTGTCCTTCCTACTTTGGAGAGACTACCTGCTCAGTCATATAGTCTTACATTCACATAATTTTTTGTGTGGATTTCTGGGCATGCGCTGATCCCAAGGAGAAAGAGCCAAGGATCTCTGAGGCCAGCAGAGATGTTGGGGTCCAGAAACTTCTACCTTCTTTGAGCGGGATTTGGGGCAGTCCTGAGCAGTGAGTTCCTACAGGCACACATGCCATGCACTGCTCTGAGTAGTTGTCTATATGGACTGTCGAGTTCTCAATCCTAGTGGTCATGTGCTGTGGGAGTGCAGCGGTGAGCGTGCAGTGGTTTTTGCTACACCCAGGGATAGTCTTTTGGATCGTACAAGTCTGTGTTCAGGTGATCCTCTCTACAGTGCTCACTGGACCAGTGGTGCACAAATTGGTCCTGGGGTTACCAGGAAAGGCAGATACATCCAAGAACCTTCTGTATAACGTCCTCCCACTTTAGCAGAACTAGCTGACTTATGTGATTTCTGGGACCCGTCAGTCATGCGTGTGTATGGAGGCTGTTCATTCGGAGGGGAGAGGACAAGCGACAATATAGGACCCTGGGACCTGGCCTCAGAGTAGTGGGAATGAGGCTAAGATAGACTCTGACTCCCACCCTTCCTGTGTGCTGAATCAGGACGCAGTGACCTTCCATGACGTGGCTGTGAACTTCACCCCGGAGGAATGGTCATACTTGGCGACCTCTCAGCAGAAGCTCTACAGGGACGTGTTGCTGGAGACCTACCAGCATCTGCAGGCTGTCGGTGAGAACAGTGTGGAGCCAACTTTGTCTGAAAAGACCCACGTGTGCTCCCTGGGGTTGGGCGGCAGCTGTGTGTCCAACAGTAGCTCTGTGACAGGTTGGGATGTTGGACAGCCGCGCAGTAGCTGTTCCCTCCCTGGTTTATTTTTAGGGTTCACCTATATATACTCAGGGCTTCCTCTCATCTTTGTCCTCAGAAATCATTCTTGTGGGGTAGCGGTACTCTATGGGGTGATTCAGATCAACCCGTTTCAACTGTGCCCATGGGAAGATCCCTATCTGCCCAGTTATCGCCCAGGTCCCTTTAAATAGTTCCATCCATTGGTGAATCAATTTACTTTGTGTACTACACGAATTTTTGTGTGTTTAATTGGTTTTGCTGTTGCCTTTGTTTGTGAGGCACAGTCCACAATTCTCCTGGCTCTGTGCTAACGGATGACTCCTAAGAGTGCTCAGGGGCCATGGGGTACCGTGGACTTGGCAACTTAAAATGTTGGTGCCTCACCACAGGATTTGCTATCTCGTCTCTCAACTCATTACTCGCTGCCCTATTTCAGTACTTGGATTTACTTCTAATGGTTCTTGTGAGACTTCCGCAGGACTTAGGATTTGCTCCTGTACTCTGCACTCAGGAATCACTCCTGGCTGGCATGAGGGACCCTAGATGATATCAGGTATTGCAACTGGATTGGCCGTGAGAAACTCCTGCAGTGCTCTCTTTCTGGATACATTTTTTAGCTTAAAAAAATAAGGGTCTCTTACCAGCCTTGGCCATTTCCATATTTATTATGCACTTAGTTTTACTGAAATCCATGATGAGTTCGTGAGGTGGTCAGGAAACTCCATGTGCTGCTGGGCCTAGAAAGACAGTACAGGGAGGAAAGTGATTTTCTTGCAAGCGGCACACCGTGGGTAAAATCCCCGGCATCCCATATCATCCCCCAGCACCAGCAGCAGTAATTTCTGAATACAGAGTCAGGAATCACCTCTGATCATTGCCAGGTGAGACCCCAAACAAGACAAAAACCAACAACATACTGAGCTGATCAACCCCCCTGTCGGCCATACACAAGGCCATGTCTAGAGTATTTGTGGTATTTTCCTGGGTCTTACCTCTCGAATGACTAGAAATATGTGGCATTTTGGAAATGGACATTCTGTTTATGCCTTTCAGATATTTGCACAGTTATATCAGGAAAACATGGGTATTTACCTTTCACGTTTTCCCTGTCACTTATCCATGCCTCTGTCTCTGTCGGGGCAGGACACTCTGGGATGAAGCCTGCGGTGATCTCCTGGCTGGAAGGAGGAGCCCTGAGTTCGGGGAAGAGAGGTGTGTGTGCAGGTGAGTGTCTGAGGGCCCTTCCTGGCTCAGGTCCTGTGCAGTGTATGGGTGACCTGAGCATGTATGAAACACGTTGCTGAGACCGGGGCCTTGGTCTCCTGGATCCTTGGGTCTGTGCCGCACTCACGCTGCTCTTCATTCCTCTGGACTGTCAGTCACAGAATGATCCTATAATTTGCTTCCATGGCTTTTGAATAAGTAAGACCATAATAGTTTGGATGTGAATGATAGTACAGCAGGGAGTGCCTTGCAGTTCTTGACGGTGACCTGTTCAATAATTTGTTCAATAACCTGGTTCCCCAAACATTATTAGGTCTGCTCAAAAACAAAAACAAAACCTAGTGTAGAATTGCCAAGATACTCACAGTTTTCCACTCTCCGAATCTTTTCTTTAGTGTGGGACTCTTTGGACTTTGAGAACCACAGAGATGTACTCTTAACTACATGGCATCATTTTGCTACATTTTTTGACATGTGCTTGAATTGCATGTTTTGTTCAGTTTCAGAAATGAAACCGCGACTTCAGGATTTGGCATTACAGCACTTTGATTTGGGAATGGGATCAGCAAGTACGAGTGAGTTGGTAAGATTAACTAATTCAGAATAAATATTATTATGCCAGCAGGAGTGGACCAACTATGTGATTGTTAAGGTGGAAGGCTGGGAGTGGCAGGGAGGAATTCCAAAGCCTGATTCTTGGAGTAGAGGACCCTTAGCTTCACTAGGTGCTGAAATCAACCATGTATAAAAATACTGTGAGTTTTAATTTTCTTGACAGTGGTAGTTGTATATAAAGCCAATTTGTGGGCCCTGTAGATCGTGCAGTGAGAAATATACTTTCTTTGCACGCGTTATAGACACCATAGACCCACAGAACTGATCCTAGACACTGCATGCTGTGCCCCTCCACCCAACCAACCCCCACTAAATAGAAACTACAAAACAGATAGACGAAAAAACTTCATTGATCCTGAAAGCCATCACTTGTGGTGAGAGCTTTGCAATGGCCACGTGGTCTGTCTCAGCTGCGTGATGATGTAGCGTTGTCTTCACCCCTGCATCAAAGGTTCCACGCTAAACTTTAATCAAATCCACATGTGAATCTATTTCATTTTCTATTGAAATGGATGAATCTGTTTTCTATAGAAGGAATTATTCCAGTTGTATTCCTTCATTAATTTAAATGGGGGAAAGTCACAAAATTTACTGACTCTGCATCCATCAATTTTGTGTGTCCAACTTACAGTAACATGAAGTTATTCTATAGTAAGACAATTCATATATCAGTAATTGCATTTGTGTGGTGCATATGTGTGAAAGCACATCTGAAGGGCTCAGATTTTTGACAGGAAGACTCAGTGAATAAGTCAATAATTAGAATCCTCTGTTGTTCTACAGGAAAGCTGTCACCCCGAGTGGAATGTCTCTGATCCTGCACTGTATGATAATGTCTCGAGTGAGCAATCCTGCCTTCAGCCCCATGAGGACACCGAGACAGGCGGGATGTCTTCTGAGGGTGATCAGAATGGCGAGAGCTACCTCACTCTGAAGAAGCCATCTCCTGGAAAAAGTTCCTTGGAGTGTGTTATTCTCAGTTCACAGGCACAACATTCCCCAGGGGGGCAGCTGCTAGGGAGAGGAGCACTGTTTATAGTGAGTCCCTTACAGCAACATACCCTCAACCAAAGTCACCGTGAGCAGAACCCATCTAAGTGTAAGGAATGTTGGGGAGCCTCCCCATGTTCTCAGCACTGTGGTGTTCCCTTAGAAAACCACAGTGGACAGAATCCCCAGAAAAGTCAGCGCCGAGAACAAAGTGTGAGTCAAGGGTTACTTCATCATGACCATATGAAAATAAATTCAGGAGCGAAACCTTTTGCATGTGAAGAATGTGGGAAGGCCTTCGATCAATCATCACATCTTATTATGCATAGGAGAATTCATACAGGAAAGAAACCTCATGAATGTCAGGCATGTGGAAAGGCCTTTATTCAGAACTCGAGTCTTAATAGACCTATGAAAACTCATAGTGGAGAGAAGCCTTCTATATGTCAGGAGTGTGATAATGCCTTTACTCGATCCTCAGGCCTCAGTATACATAGAAGTATTCACACTGGAGAGAAACCATATATATGTAAGGAATGTGGAAAGGCCTTTGCGAAAGCCTCAAGTCTTAGTGTACATAGGAGAATTCACACTGGAGAGAAACCGTATATATGTAAGGAATGTGGGAAGACCTTTGCTGTAGCCTCAAGTCTTAGTGTACATAGGAGAATTCACACTGGAGAGAAACCGTATATATGTAAGGAATGTGGAAAGGCCTTTGCTAGAGCCTCAAGACTTAATTTACATAGGAGAATTCACACTGGAGAGAAACCATATATATGTAAGGAATGTGGGAAGGCCTTTGCTGAATCATCAAGACTTAGTGTACATAGAAGAATTCACACTGGTGAGAAACCATATATATGTAAGGAATGTGGAAAGGCCTTTGCGAAAGCCTCAAGTCTTAGTGTACATAGGAGAATTCACACTGGAGAGAAACCGTATATATGTAAGGAATGTGGGAAGACCTTTGCTGTAGCCTCAAGTCTTAGTGTACATAGGAGAATTCACACTGGAGAGAAACCGTATATATGTAAGGAATGTGGAAAGGCCTTTGCTGTAGCCTCAAACCTTAGTGCACATAGGAGAATTCACACTGGAGTGAAACCGTATATATGTAAGGAATGTGGAAAGGCCTTTGCTTTGGCCTCAAGACTTAGTGAACATAGGAAAATTCACACTGGAGAGAGACCATATATATGTAAGGAATGTGGGAAGGCCTTTGCTATAGCCTCAAAACTTACAGTACATAGGAGAATTCACACTGGAGAGAAACCGTATATATGTAAGGAATGTGGGAAGTCCTTTGCAGAAGCCTCAATCCTTAGTGTACATAGGAGAATTCACACTGAAGAGAAACTGTATATATGTAAGGAATGTGGGAAGGCCTTTGCTACAGCCTCAAGACTTAGTCTACATAGGACAATTCACACTGGAGAGAAACCGTATATATGTAAGGAATGTGGGAAGGCCTTTGCTTTGGCATCAAGACTTAGTGTACATAGGAGAATTCACACTGGAGAGAAACCGTATATATGTAAGGAATGTGGGAAGGCCTTCGCTGGAGCCTCTACACTTCGTGAACATAGGAAAATTCCACACTGGAGAGAAACTATATATATGTAAGGAATGTTGGAAGGACTTTGCTGGATTATCAAGACTTACTGCACATATGAAAATTCATCTCAGAGAGAACCCTCATCAGTGTCAGACCTGTGGGAAGGGATTCACATGGTTCTCTTCCCTTACTCTACAGATGAGAATTCATAATGGAGAGAAGACTTAGATATGTCTGGAGTGCGAAAAGGTCTTTAATTCATCCTCACAATTGACTGTACATAGGAGAATTCACAGTGGAGAGACACCGTATATATGTAAGGAATGTGGGAAGTCCTTTCCTGAAGCCTCAAGCCTTAATGTACATAGGAGAATTCACACTGGAGAGAAACTATATTTGTAAAGAATGTGCGAAGGCCTCTGTATGTCCTCAATACTTAATTTACATAGGAGAATACACACAGGAGAGAAACTGTATACATATAAGAAGTGTGGAAAGGCCTTTTGATAACCCTCAGAAGTAGTGTGCATAGGAGCATTCATGCCGGAAAAAAAACCTTATATATGCGAGGAATATTGGAAGGCCTTCTGCCATTCTGAATCCTTGCTAAGTACAAGAATATTCACAGTGGAGGGAAACCTTATCCGTGTCAGACTTGTGGGAAGGCCTGCCTTCATTTGGTGCTATCCAGAAATACAAAGACAAATCTCAAAACCCAGCGCCTTTTAGCAGAAATGCCTCTGGACCCTGCAGTAAGTTACTGTCCCCGGTACACTCCAGGGGGAATTGGTGCTGTTCCCCCAACGACTCCCACTTGGCGGCTCAGTGGCCTCAATCCTCCAAAGGCCTTTGGAAAGTTAGGTTTGGACCCACACTCACGAAGCTACGTGGGGACTCTCAGGATGGGGTGGAGCCGGCCAATTCCTCCCCACCCCAACAAGAGCCTAAGCGATTCCCACGAACCGCCTCTCTGACTCATGATAAAGCTGTTTAATGGCCATAATCCCAGAGACTCAGGCACAAATCTCGGAAGCCAGCAGGTTTTGGCAGAAATCCCTCCAGATTTAGTTGTTAAAATTTCAGAATTTCAAAATTATATGTTATTTATAACCAGCAATCGAAAAAGAATTGTCTACTGTTGCATTTTCGCCAGACCTGAGTGCTGGGGTAAAAATCCCAAATAATAATGGTGGGTCTCATGTCAAAATATTGAATGTAATCAAAGTAGTAAGAAGAATGTGGAAATTATCTGCCCCACAGGTAGGGGGAGGTGTGGAATGGCAGTATACTTGGGTTTTTAGTGGTGGAAAATAGGCACGGTGAAGGGACGGGTGTTTCATTGTATGACGAAAAATTAAACCTGAAAGCTTTGTAATTGCTCTCCCATTTTTTCCCGTTTTCTCCCATTTATTTAGAAATGGCCAGAGGAATAGTAGAGCAAGGATGCTTGCCTTGCATGTGGCCAACCCAGGAGTTCTCCAGTCCACAACATCTTTGAGTTGCTCATTGGACATTGAGTATCCCCTTCTCATCCCTAGAACATGTGATATGGGGGTGTGGCATGGGGGTAGGGGTATCTTCTCCCAGGATCTGTTCATTATGGAGAGATCCTGTTCTTTCCTTTCTTGACTTTGTTGTCATTCTTCCTCACCTGTCAGTTATGTCGAGTAGTACATGTGTTTCAAAGCCCTTGTGTTCCCGGCTATAACTAGCCTGACTGTACACGGAAAGGGCCGGGTGCCCTTTCTGGACTCTGCTCAGTCAATCTGACACCATGCATATCTTTGCCTTTGTATCATTGCCATGTTTTTTTGAATATGGGAAGAAATTGAGTGTTCTTTTGTTTTGGGGCCTGGGGATGATCAGCAATTATTCCTGGTGATTCTCATAAGTTGCTTTTGGCAGTGTTCAAGGATCAACCCCTGTCAGCCTCATGCAAGTCAAATGCCTACCTGCTCTACGCTTGTACGCACCAAAAATTGTTTTATTGTGTGTATGTTAAATTGTGACTGTGAGCCCATAGTGAAGTTAATTAGGACCAGAAGAGCAGTGCATCACTGTGGGTGCTCGCCTTACAGATGCCACCTACCTTCGATGTCCAGCATCCCCTATGGTATCCCAAGCATCACTGGGTCTGATTAAAAACAAAACCCAAAAGGATTTTTTGGGGATTGCCAAGCTCCTCCTAGCAACATTTCCCACAGATTTTCCATTTCTGTAGGTTTGTTTTGACTGTGAGAACTATGGAGATGTCCTCCACCTGCTTGGTCATTCTACTGCATCCCATTCAATATTGGACTAATTCTCATTGTGCATTTTGTTTGATTTCAGAACTCAAATCACAGGTTCAGGATATGGCATTACAGCAATTTCTTTAGGAAACAGGTGTGCTGTAAGATTCTCTTGTTGAAACTAACTATTATGCCATTGGATTGCTCAGTGGACCGAGCATGCGACTTGAAAGGTGGGGTCCGGCTCCATCCCCACAACCACATCTATGGTCTCAGCATCACAGGAGAAATATCGGAGCCTAATGCTGGGACTAGAGGGTCTTTAACCTCAGTGGGTACTGCAATCTGGAAATTTATTTTATTGTATTGTTTTTTTAAAGTTTTCATTAAAGTGCTAGTATTTTAAAAGTTTTTAGTAGTTGTATTTAGGCGTACAATAATTGAACACCAATCCCTGCATCAGCTTCCCTCTACCCATGTTCCCGTATTCCCTCCCCACCCCAGTCCCCACTCTACCCCCGCCTGTCATCTGGACAAGCACATGACTAGGTTTCAGTGGTCACAGCTTAGATCTCTTGTTTTCAGTTCTGTTGCATCTGTATTTTGGGTAAATGGCTACACCCCTCACTCATGTTACTGGCATAAATGAATCCCTGATCCCTGTAAACTTCTGGTTCTCTTCCGCCCCAAATTTCTTTCCTTCTTTGTCCGCCTTCTCTCTAAACACTGGAATCAGGGATGATTGAAGCAGCCCCTTTACAGTACATTTCCACATTCAGTGTTCGGTATTCCACCAATGAGTGAACATCATCCAGTTTTTTTTTTTTTGTTTTGTTTTTATGGCTAACTTCAGTCAAGACAGTATATTCCAGTTCCAACCGTGTTGCTGCATGAAAGAAGTAATTCTAAAACCTAAAATATAGATCACTTGATCAACCTTTATTCATCGATTTATTCGAGTGGGTGCCAGTAACATCTCCATGCATCCCTGTTGCGTGCTAGTGTAGCCCAATGGCATCTGTTCGTTCTAGGAACATGCAGAGCCTCAAACTGATCATTCAGGGTCTTGACGAAGAAGTCTGACCATCTTGTAGGTGGACGTCCACGCGATCTGTTGACGTGCTGTGGAATCCAGTCAGTAATGGCTCTAGGCCAGTGGTTGTCTGCAAACCTCAGTACGTGTCCAGCCCATCTGATTTTTGATGCCTTGGCAGATGAGACAGTGTCCCTGATTCTTGACCATTGACAGAGATCAGAACTCCAGATTCTATCTCTCATTTGAGTCATGCGTGATATTCCAAGCATAGCTCTTTCGATTCCTCTTTGAGAGACCCGAGTAGCGTTCTCATCCTGTTTTCATAGGGCCCAGGTCTCTGAAGCATATGTTAATGCAGGAATAACAGTGGAATCGAAGAGATGTGCTTGTAGCTGGAGGTTCTTTGTCCTCTTAGTTATTTCTTCAACGCTCTTGAAAGCATTCCAAGCCGCTCTCTTCCTCCTGCATAACTCAGGTACCAGGTCATTCATGTTGATTTCTCGAACTAGGTATATATACCTGTTGCAATCGGAGATGGTGGTTCCATTGAGAGCGAATGGAGCATCAGGAACAAGGCTGTTTCTCATAAACATTGTCTTTGTAGGATTCAGCTGTAGTTCAATCTTTCCACACTCACGGTCGAAGTAGGTCTGCATTTGTGCCTCTTGGCTGATGTCTTGTGTTATTACAACGATGCCATCAGCAAAGTGGAGGTGGTGTAGTTGCCGACCATCTATCTTCACTCCCATTCCTTCCCATTCCAGTCGTCGCATGATGTTCTTGAGGGTGGCACTGAAGAGTTTTGGTGAAATGGTATCACCGTGCCGAACCCCTCTCTTGACATGGATGATTACTTCTTTGTAGAATGGTGAGATCCTGGTAGTGAATCCATAATAGAGCTCACGGAGGATCCTGATGTATTGAGTTTGTAAACCCTGATTGGCTAGGGCTTCTATGACCGCTTCCATCTCAACAGAATCAAAGGCCTTCTTTAAATCAATGAACGTTAGACAGAGCGGCATCTTGAACTCCTGGGAAAGCTCAATGAGCTTAGTAATCATGTGGATATGGTAGATGGTACTGAATCCTTTTCAGAACCCAGCTTTTTCATAAGGTTGTTCTTCATCTAGTGTTCTGATAATCCTATTCAGGATGACTCGAGTGAACAGTTTGTAGATGACAGACAATAGGCAGATTGGGCGATAGTTGCCAATGTTGTGGATGTCTCCCTTCTTGTATAGTAGTACAGTCTTACTGGTTTTCCATTGGAATGGAACCTTGCATTCTGACAGCGTGTGAAGAGCCGAGCCAGTGTATTGATGAGTACTGATGGTAAGTTCTTCAGGTGTTCAGGTCTGATCTTGTCTGGGCCAGGTGCTCTTTGTTTCTTTACCGATGAGATGGCGTGTTGAATTTCGGAAGGGGGAACATTGGGAACAATATATCCATTGCGCAGTAAGTGGTATGTGGGCAGTTGGACGTGGCTATTAAAGAGATCTGAGTAGAATTCATAAATAATCTTCTGATTGCCCTTCTGAAAGATGTGATAGATCCATCAGGATGTTGGAGGGCAGTCATCTTGGTCTTGTAGTTGGTGAAGGACAGGCGGGCATTACAAATGCTTTTCCCAGCTTCTGCCGCATCTACCAGCATCAGTGTTCTCCTGTCTTTGAGATCATCATTGATGACTTCTCTGCATTGTTTTGCCAGCTCGGACATTCGCTTGCGGTTGCCTGACGCATGTGCCAAGCCACGTTGGCGAATAAGTTCAAGAGTGTTTGAAGAAAGGCAGTTTTTTCCTGGTTATCTCTCGCGGCCCTGAGAGTCCCAGCAGCAGGAATCCCTGAGCAATGCTGGTGTGACCCTCTCTCCACCTAAGTGAATAGATCAAGATAACAGAAAACTCATTGATCCTCGAGAGATATCTGCTTTAGGTGAGATGTTTTCAAAGGTCTGTCTCGGCTGTGAGGGGATGCATCATTGCCTTCACACGTGTATCCCACTAAGCTATCCCACTAAGCTCCACACTAAGCTAGTACCAATCCCAGTCTCGGGCCCCTTTTATTTTCACTCAAAACTGGTGCTTCCATTTTCTGCAGAGGGAGTAATTTCCATTACTGTGTCTGTTCTTAGAGTTGGAAAAATAATACACAGCTATGTGACCTGCTGTCGGTCTATTTTGCTTGTCCATCTTGCTGAAACATTAGGTCGTTGCCTGGAAAATCCATCCACGTGTCAGAATTGCAACCAAGTTGGGTTAATGTTAGAAACCAACTTGCAGGTCTAGAATTTTTTTTTGACCAGAAGACTATCAGGCACAGCACAGTAATTGGAATCCTTCTCTGCTTTTCCTTGGGTAGAAACAGCCCAGGTGGAATTCTTCTGGTCATGCACACTGTGACAAAATCTCGAGTGAGCATTTATGCCCTCAGCCTCATGAGGATGCCAAGACAGGTAGGATGTCTTCTGTGGGTTACCAGTAGGAAGTGAGCACCCACGCTTGAAAACAAGCGCTCCACTGGGAAAAGATATTCGGAGACTGTTCTGCTAAGTTCATGAACACAAACCGCCCCAGGAAAGAAGCCCCTGGACTGTGGGAGTGGAGCACTGTTTATAGTGAGTCCAGTTATGTATCCCACAAGATATGAAGACTGGAATCAAACCCAGATTACCCAATTGAAAGAAAGCTCTCACACTCTTTGGCTCTCCAGACAGCCCCACCATCATGCCCGAGTGCTTCCTGAGTGCAGAGCCAGGAGAACCTCTGCGCGTTGCTGAATTTGTGGCCCCCATACCATGAACAAACCTAATAAAAACAAAACAGCCTCAGTCCCTTATTGAAGGATTCCCTCACCCCAATGTGGACGTTTCTGAACTGTATCTTGCTGTATCCATGCTGCCTCTTCCTCGTAGAAGAGGGTTGGGTACCCTCAGAACGTGGGGTGATGAAGTGTGGGTTGCCCATAGCAGAAATATTTCTAAATGGTTTGGTCACAGACATAGCAAAGTAGCTTCAGATGTTTTTCAGCTCAGACTGTCACTGTCCTCCCGTTTTTCATAGAGTTGCTTGAACGTGCCCAGTAACATTGTGAGACTTGTTACTGTGTTTTGCATATCGAATACGTCACGGGTAGCTTGGCAGGCTTTACAGTGTGGGCAAGATACTCTTGGTAGCTTGCCGAGAGGGGTGGAGGAATGAAACTCGGGTCGACCATGAAGGTCGCATGCAAGGCAAACGCCATACCTGCTGTGCCATGGCTTCAGCCTTGCAAATTTGCCTTGCTGTATCCACGTCAGGTTCAATCCTCTGCACCCATCGTGATCCAGAAGCAAAGATGGAGCAGCCCCTGGACTCCCAAGGTGATTCAGCTATGTACACCACAAGATCTGAAGATGGAAATCAAATGCTTGTCACCTGTGTGAAAGACTAGCAACCTCAAGGCTCTCCTACCACTCCCCTTTGAAGCTCGTGCTTGATCTTTAGTTACCCTATACTTAACACAGAAGCAAACTTAAGGGTGGAAAATTCTTAGAGAAACGGGCATGGAGAGGGATGGAAACGCCCACAACTCCATCTCTTGGCATTTCGGCATAAATTCCGTAGTCCAAATTTTCCCAAGTTTAAGATTTACAGCCCTTCTCTTTGCTTAAATGGGGTCATTAAGGATCAAGCACTGCAGCTTTGTCCGCTGCAATGGCAGCAGATAGGATAGGGCTTTTGCCTCGTATCCACAGGACCCGGGTATATTCATAGGATCCCCATACAGTTCTTCAGTCATGTACAAAGTGTTTCCTGAGTTCAGAGCCAGGAGAAGACCCTGAGCATACCCGGTGTGGCCACAATCATAAAGGAGCATACAAGAAAAAGTAAAACACAGAGCTTCAGTTCATTGATGACGAATTCCCTCACCCCGACTTGAGGGTGTCAGAACTGTATATTCTTCCATTCCCCACGATGGTGTAGAAGATGTTTAGAGTACCCTCATAATGTGGGATCATGGGGTGTGGGTTGCCCATAAAAGGAAACCTTAAAAGGGCACTGTCACAGGCATCAGAAGGTGCGTTCAGAACTTTTTTGTACAGAGAGAAAAGAACAATAAATGTAAGAAAATAACCCTGCCTTGCCCATCAAAGGCTCAGTTCAATTTGCTGCACCCCTCAAGGTTTAGAGACAAAGCTAGGGAAACCCACTCGACCCCCGAGAAGATTCAGCTATCCACCCCACAAATATCTGAAGGCTGGCATCGAACCCAGATTACTCAAGTGAAAGACAATCAACCGCAGGCTCCCCTAACGCTGCACCTGTGGAAGCTGCTTGCTTGATACTTAATTACCCTATACTAAATACTGAAGATAACCCAAGGGTGGAAAATTCTTAGACAAATGAGCCTGGAGAGGAACAGAAACGTCCACACCGCCATCTCGTGGTGTGTCGACGGAAATACCGCTGCCCGACTTTTCCCACGCTTAAGATTTCCAGCCCATTTATTTGCTTCAATGTTAGGTATAAGGTAATTAAGGATCAAGCAAGCTGTTTGGGTCGCTGCAGTGGGAGCAGGACGGTTAGTGCTCTTGGCTTGCAGCACAGGCCCCTGGTTCTTTCTCTGGCTCTCCATACAGCCCCACCATCATGCAAGAGTGATTCCTGAATGCAGCGTCAGGAGAACCTCTGTGTGTGGCTGGATTTGTGTCCCCCAAACCATGAACAAACAAAATAAAACCAAAACAGCCTCAATCCCTTATTGCAGGATTCCCTCACCCCAACGTGGGCGTTTCTGAGCTATATCATGCTGTATCCATGCTGCGTCTTCCTTGTCGTAGAAGTTAGGGCACCCTCAAAATGTGGGGTGATGGGGTGTGGGTTGCCCATAGCAGGAAATATTTCTCAATGGCTTGGTCACAGACATAGCAAAGTGGCTTCAGAAGGTTTCTAGCTCAGAAAGAAGAGAACAAAAAATAAAAATAAATGAATTTGTCTTGTTCTTTCCACGTCAAGTTCAATCTTCTGCACCCCTCGTGGTGCAGAGACAAAGCGGAGGCAACCCACTTGACCCCCGAGAAGAATCAGTTATGTACCTCACAAGATCTGAAGGCTGGAATCAAACCCATGTTACTCTAGTGAAAGAAAGCTCCTGCACGGTTCTCGTACTGCAGCACCTGTGGAAGCGGCTTGCTTGATCCTTAATTATACCATACTTATCAATGAAGCAAACCCAAGGTTGGAAAACTCTTAAGAGAAACGTGCCTGTTGAGGAACGGAAACTCCCAGAGCGCCATCTTGTGGCGTTTCTGCGGAACTACCGCGGCCTGACTTTTCCCACACTTAAGACTCCCTGCCCATTTCTTTGCTTCAGTGTTAGGTATAGGGTCATTAATGATCAAGCAAGCAGTTCGGGCCGCGGCAATAAGAGCAGAGCGGTTAGTGCTCTTGGCTTGCAGTCATAGGCCCCTGGTTCTTTCTTTGGCTCTCCATACAGCCCCACCATCATGCAAGAGTGATTCCTGAATGCAGCGTCAGGAGAACCTCTGCGTTTGGCTGAATTATTGTCCCTCAAACCATGAACAAAACAAATGAAACCAAAACAGCCTCAGTCCCTTATTGGAGGATTCTCTCCGCTAAACATGGGGGTTTCTGAGCTGTATCTTGCTGTATCCCTGACCTCACTTCTTTGTTGAAGAGGGTTGGGGCATCTTCAGAACGTGGGGTGTTGGCACGTGGGGCTTACTATAACTGGAAACCTTTCTAAAGAGCTCGGTCATGAACAGAGCAAACAGGCATAACTTTTCTCGTTCAAAGTAAACAGAACAACAACAAAATAATCTCACCCTGCTTGTAGCCAACCAGGTTCAATCCCAGGTACTCAATGGTCCCCAGAACTCTATAGGCACACACCAAAGCAGCCCCCTAAAAAATCCTCGGAGGCAGAGCTATAGTACAGCGTGTAGCAAGTTTGCCTTGCATGCAGGCAACGTGGGTCCAATCCCTGGCATCCCATATGGTACCTCAATTACTGCCAGGAGTAATTTGTGAGTGTAGAGCCTAGAGTAACCATTGAGCATTGCTCAATGTTACCCAAAAAGCAAAAAACAATTCCGTGGCAGAAGTTATGTATTTCGGATTGCTAGGGAAGGAGATTGCCCGGTCTTAGGCTCATTATTCCTGTGTTAATTAAAATTCTCCTTAACCTAACTCCAGTCTGTCTGATGACTGTTTCCTTCACCCCAGACATCTGGAGATGCTGGAGTTGAATCTGGCCCCTGCCATGCTCGTCCATGGAGAACAGAAGACATGAGACTTCTCATATGTATAGGAACCCCAAAACTCAGGGCGGAAGATGGCAACCTTAGCAATGTGGGGTGCTGTGATGTGGGGACCTGGGGTCTGGAGACCATTAAACTGAGTTGGTTGGAGACATTATACTGCGGGAAGGCACAGCCTCTCCTGTGTCACCCTGTTTCCTCTCTGGCAGCTGGCTCTGGAGCACTGTCCACTGGGTGTGCCTCCACAGAGAGAGTGAGTGGGGAGAGCCCCAGGCAGCACGGACACCCAGACACAATTCACCAGTTTATTCTGTGACCCGAGACCCAATAACTGGGCGTGGGCAGGGCCGGAAGATGCTGGACTATCATCCCCTCCAGCCCTTGGCGGGTGTAAGCGAGTCGAATCCACAAGAGGTGGCCTCCTCTTAGCACACGGATCCCTCGAGAATGAAGGCAGCACCATTGGGGTCTGGGGTCATCGTCCAAACCCCATCCAACCCCTCCTGATCTGGCTATATGATTCGGGGGAGGGGGTCAGAAGCAGGGGTGGGGCAGCGTCTGGAGTTGGGCTGAGGTGGGGTTCACACAGCTCTGCCAGGGGGTCCCACATCCTTCTGGGAACCCCAAACCTGCCCTGCTCCTGCAAATGTCTGGGGAAGCCAGTGAGTAGTCTCCCTCAAACAGAATGGAATTCAGTGGTCAACAAGGATATCTGGAAGCACCAGAATTTTTTTTTTTTTTGCTTTTTGTGTCACACCAGCAATGCACAGGAGTTACTCCTGGTTCATGCACTCAGGAATCACTCCTGGCGGTGCTCAGGACCATATGGGATGCTGGGAATCGAACCTGGGTCGACCGCGTGCAAGGCAAATGCCCTACCCACTGTGCTATTGCTCCAGCCCCAGGAAGCACCAGATTTTTCTGAGTCAGGGCGAGAGGCTGGTTTGGGGTGGCTGTATCAGCTCCAAGCTGGAAGTCCTTTGTATGGGGGGCAGAGGTGCTAAACATCCAGCTAAACTTCCGCCGCGCCCCCCAAGGTCAGCTGAACACTACTCACTGGGGCGCCAACCACATCCACTTAGGAGAACTGTGGATGCCCAAGCAGGAGTTCAGGACCAGCGGGTCGCCAGAGGCAGGTCGGACAGCCCTATTTCTTCCTCCTGGTTGCACTTGGTTTTGTTTTGCACACCTGGCGGAGCTCAGGGATCACTCCAGGTGTGCCTGGGGGACACTATGGGGTGCCTGGGATCGAACCCCAATCGACATGTGCAAGGCATCATGGTCTTGATGAAAACTGTTACGACCTAAGCGACAGGACCCACATGGGGAAGGACAAGCTGAACTGCCCCGAGGATTTAGTCTGGGATTTACAGTAAAAGCCTTGCTTGCTCTCAGAGCCCAGAGAACTAAGTGTTGGGATCTTTGTCTCTTACTGTGTTTATCCAAACAACCCATATATTGATAACTTATACAACCAGAGGGAAAGATAAAAGCAATGTAGATGTCCCTGGGAGACAGTGTCTTCTTAAGTTGATCTCCCCAAGAGAGTTTCCTCTGACAAATGTATATCTATGTACATGACCAATCACACCTATGTCCTTACCTCAATCCCCCTTCAGATATTCTATAAACATGCTAGCAACTAAGCATCAAAGGTGCGTTTTTCAACATCAGCCTGTGGTCCCAAATCTCCCCATCTCTCTGTCTCTCTGTTTGGGAGCCTGTGAAGATGGGGACGTGGGTACCCAGCTCAGAGTCACAGAACACACACACACACACATGCATCGTAGCAGTAGCCCCGGCGTTTTACCTTGTGAACTCAC